TGAGATAGCGCCACTGCACCCCAGCCTGGGCAACAAGAGTGAGACTCCATCTCAAAAAAAATAAATAAATAAAAATAAAAATCTGTAATAAATAAATAACTTGGCTGGGCGTGGTGGCTCACGCCTGTAATTCACACACTTTGGAGGCCAAGGTGGGCGGATCACCTGAGGTCAGGAGTTCAAGACCAGCCTGACCAACATGGTGAAACCCCGTCTTAAATAAATAAATAAATAAATAACTTGCCCTCACACATATCTCTGTGTCCATTTTCCTTTATTCCCTGTGATTGTCCTGGTCTAGGCCTCATCGCCTCTTGCCTGGTCTACACCAGTCAACTCTCCCGTGTCCCCTGCCCATTCTCTCAGTGATTCATCCAATCTACCCTATAGATACCTGGTCCAGTATCTACACGATATCCAAACTCTCCATCACGCTCTAGCCCTAATCCCATCTTTGTGGGTTCATCTCCCAGCCCTCTCCTCCACAACCCTATCATTCATCCAACACATGTCTACTGAGTGCCTACAATACGCTGGGCACTTGGTACACATTAGAGAAAACAGATCCCAAATCCCTGATTTTTCCCGAGATGCTTACACTGAAGGAGTATCAGATTCTCCCTGAATTGAATGTGCCCTTTCTTCCCTCACTGTCTCTGCAAATGTATTTCCCATGTCTGGAATACCACAGGAAGGTCCTCTACAGAATACCTTCCTTTCAGCCCCAGAGGCAAAGGAAAAGGGTTGTTGGGCCAGGCTGTAATCCAACACTTTGGGAGGCCAAGGCAGGTGGATCACCTGAGGTCAGGAACTCGACCAGCCTGACCAACATGGCGAAACCCCGTCTCCACTAAAAAAATATAACAATTAGCCAGGTGTGGTGGTGGGTGCCTACACTCCCAGCTACTTGGGAGGCTGAGGCAGGAAAATTGCTTGAACCCGAGAGGCGGATGTTGCAGTGAGCTGAGATTGCGCCACTGCACTCCAGCCTGGGCGACAGAGCGAGTCTCCAAAAAAAACAAGGAAAAGGGTTGTTTCCACCACTTGTTCCTAGATAGAAAACGGGACCTGCCCGCTACTCTCACACCTTTCTCTTCCAGGAGGCTGGGCGCCCCTAGAGGGCAGGACCCGTGAGTTCTCTCTGCATCCTCGGCACCAGCAAAGAGCCTTGCAATGAGGAAGGGAAATTGAACCCATGAATGTCTGAAGACCAAATAAATGTTCCCCTCCCCTCTCCCACAACATAGACACGTCCAGGAAGCTTTCCATCAACTCACAAGAGTTCTGCCAGCTCCCCCACTTCCCCGACCAAGGCCAGGAGGAGGTTCCGAGGCTGATGGAACTGTTCCCAGTCTCGTTCAGCAGCAAACTCAGCATGGAGGCGGCGGCTGAAATAGGAAAAAGGGATGTAAGCCCAAGTCTCAGGGACAAAGGGTGATGCAGGGGCCAGAGGCAGGTACCCCAGTGGTATGCAATGGGGGCCTGGGACTAGGAGATTCTGAAATTAGTTGATTGGATGGCCTTAGGCAGGTCGTGTCCACTTTCCGGAACTTGGTTCCCTCATCTATAAAATGGGCGTGCCCCTGAGCCGCCCTTAACATCTCGCCAAATCTAACAAAACCCTCTTCATTTTTCCATCTCCTGCTGCTACTTCTGCAGTTTCCTCCACCTGGAAATCCCGCACATCAAAATCCAACTTCCCTTATAGAATGTAGTTCCACAGGCACTTCCTCTAAGAAGCCTTCCTTGTCTTCCTCCAGCAAAAAATAAGGTCTCCCACCTCTCAGCACTTCGTTTGACCCTCTCGTACCCCCAGCGCCTGCAGACCACAGGCGGTATCGGGCGCCAATATCTTCCCAGAGCTAGGTTGAAGGGCGTTCCTAGTACCACTCGGGGGTATCACCCAATTTCCCTTGCCTCAGGTGTGCACCGCTGCGCCCATTTTGCAGACAAGGTAAGAAGGCTCGCCTGGGGACAGTTCGCAGAGCCTGGATCCGAGCCCTGCTGCCATCCCGCTTCCCAACCACGTGGAGGAACCCTCCCCAAAACGCGGGAGAAAGGGATGACCTCCCCACCCCGAGCTGGGCCAGGCCTGCTTACATGTCCTCGAGCGTGGGCTCCGGGCTGAAGCTGAACCGACCCGCAGCAGCAGTGCCCTCGCCCCCTGTGTCCCCAGGAGTCTCCCCACCGGCCGCAGACATGCCGTAAACCCGCTGCAGCCGCGATTGCACCGAAAACCCAAGCGCCACGCTCAAAGCCCCGCCTCCAGAACTCCGGCCAATCACGGCCGTTCTCTATTGCCTTAAGGGGCGGAGCCTGAGAAAAGAGACCAATGACTTCTCTGGAGTTTGCTACAGCCCGCCCCTTCCCATACTGGGCCAATCTGAGGGAGCTTCTAGCGCGCGCTTCCAGTCTCAGGCCCTGGAATTTTTCCGCTAGACCCTGCTTAAGGTCTTAAAGGTATAGGTACCAATTCGACCTGGGGAAGAGACGAACGGCAGAGGGTGGGGGAGCGCAGGCGCGTCACTTCCTTTATGGGCGCCAGAGGGCGCCAAAGCGAATATGGCGGCGGAAGGGGGTCCGCCGGGTGGAAAACCCTATATAAATGAAGGGCCCTTTGCATAGATATTAAATCTCTCAGGGCTTAAGGATGTTGAGAACCCTCTAGGCTTACCCCCACACTGTTTGGATGAGATTGAAGAGAAGAGAAAGAGTGGAGTAAGATCAGACCGGATTAGGACTCGAGTCTTGGGTCGCACTTCAGCTCCCCCGCACCGCTATGTCCTGTGGTTGAAACGATGGAGGTCGCTCCATCCCTCTCCTAAGGAAGGCAGTAGGCCCCAGTGCAGCATACATTGCCCTAAACACGTGGCCCGTTTATGGTCTGGCCTGTGCCAGCCTCTCCAGCCTCATGGGTCCCCAGGACGACTCCTCCACCCCACACACCGGGCAACTCCAGGCTCACTCACACCAGAGAATACGCTAGGTGGCGAGACACAGAGCTGCTGCTTTCAAATCAGAACCACTGAGTTATTGGCCATGGGAAGAGCAGAGATCTTTATGAAATTCTAGAATAGGTGTAGTCTTACAAAGAATGATTTATGATTGTCCCCTTATTAGGGCTACTATCTCTGATTTCCCGATGTTTAAAGAGGCATCCAGCTTGGTGGAAGTAAAAGAGAAAGTGCAGGAAAAGGCAAAGTCAGGTTTTGGAAATTAAAACCCCAAGGCTGTGACAACTGCAATTCTAGGTATAAGCCCTAGATAAACTAATGAATATATGCAGAGAGACATATACAAGAAGTTCATTATAGTTTTGTTTGTAAGAGTGAAAAACAATTGAAAATAAAATGACTATCAATGGAAGAATGGGTATGTTGTATTGGACCCAGCGTAGAAAGTTAGCACCAAGACAAAAGTATGCCAGATTGCAGGGTCATTTATTATGCCGGCGACCACAGAGGACTCACGTCTCTCCAACCTGTGGTGTCAAAAGGAGGGTGCCAAGACTTTTTATACCCGAAAAACCACCTTGGGAGTGGGGGTGAAGAGCGGGGATGGGGATGAAAAGGTTTCGGACATTCCAAGGGCTAGGGGACTTTTGTCATTCTGTTTGTTACCTCAGTAGTTTACAGAAGTCAAGATATACATTTGTTTACACATTGTCTGGGTGGTGGTAGAAGTCACAGATTTTAGCAGTTACTGATAAGAAAAGGTAAGCAGCTTTACATAGTTTTGCAGAACAAACTAGCAGTTCTATTTACAGCGGCCAAGAACAGTAGTTATTGTGAGGAGAATGGGGCAGCCATTGCAACTTATTTGAAAACAGTTTTAATTAGCCGGGCATAGTGGTGCGTGCCTGTAATCCCAGCTACTCAGGAGGCTGAGGCAGGAGAATTGCCTGAACCCAGGAGGCGGAGGGTGCGGTGAGCCGAGATTGC